GAGGACCTTCAGGAAGAGATGCAACCTTGTCCAGCACAAGCAGGCTCATGGCCCTAAAAAAGTGCACCAGTGTAAAGAGTGCGGGAAGACGTTTAAGAAAAACATGATCCTGATCCAGCACCAGCGGTCCCACACCGGTGAGCGGCCCTACAAGTGTGGGGAGTGCGGCAGCACCTTTAGATACAGCTCCAGTCTTTTCCAGCATCGGCGGATCCACACTGGTGAACGGCCACACAAGTGCGAGCAGTGTGGGATGGCCTTCAGCTGCAACAGCCACCTTGTCAGGCACCTGCAGATGCACACCGGTGACCGCCCCTACGTCTGCGACCAGTGCGGGAAGAGCTTTGGGCAGAAGTCCAACCTTACCCAGCACCAGCAGACGCACACGGACCAGTGGCCCTACGCCTGTGACCAGTGCGAGAAGGGCTTCACACTCAGCTCCTCCTTGGCCACGCATGTCCAGACCAACGCTTGTGAGAATCCCTACAAGTGCCCTGTGTGTGGGAAGGCCTTTGGGATGAGATCCAGCCTGAGCAGTCACCAGCGCACTCACAGCAATGAACGGCCCTACAAGTGTGGGGAGTGTGGGAACGCCTTCAAATATAGTTCCAACCTGCTGCAGCACCAGGTCACTCACACTGGTGAGCGGCCCTACAACTGTGGGGAGTGTGGGAAGGCATTCAAATATATCTCCAACCTGATCAGACACCAGCGGAACCACACTGATGAGCGGCCTTACACGTGTGGGGAGTGTGAGAAGTCCTTCAAGCACAGCAACGACCTGATGCAGCACCAGCGGTTCCACACTGGCGAGCGGCCCCACAAGTGTGGGCAGTGCGGGAAGAGCTTTGTGCAGAACTCTGCCCTGATGAAGCACCAGCAGAGCCACACTGCTGAGCAGGCCCTTAAATATAGCTCCAACCTGATCAAGCACCAGGGCACCCACACTGGTGAGTATCCCTACAAGTGTGGGGAGTGCGAGAAGGCCTTCAAGGACAGCAAGAACCTGACCCAGCATGAGCAGATCCACAGTGGTGAGTGGCCCCACAAATGTGGGGAGTGTGGAAAGAGCTTTGTGCAGAAGTCCACCCTGATCAAACACCAGCGGACCCACACTGCTGAGCAGGCCTTTAAATATAGCTCCAACCTGATCAAGCACCAGGTCACCCACACTGGTGGGCGTCCCTACAAGTGTGAGGAGTGCGGGAAGGCCTTTGGGCGTAGCTTCATTCTAATGCAGCACCAGCGGACCCACACTGGTGAGCGTCCCTACAAGTGTGAGGAGTGCGGGAAGGCCTTTGGGCGTAGCTTCATCCTGATGCAGCACCAGCGCACCCACACCGGTGAGCGGCCCTACAAGTGTGGAGAGTGTGGGAAGGGCTTTGCGCACACATCTACCCTGATGAAACACCAGCAGACCCACACTGCTGAGGAGGCCTTTAAATATAGCTCCAACCTGATCAAGCACCAGGTCACCCACACTGGTGAGCGTCCCTACAAATGTGAGGAGTGTGGGAAGGCCTTTGGGCGTAGCTTCATCCTGATGCAGCACCAACGGACCCACACTGGTGAGCGGCCCTACAAATGTGAGGAGTGTGGGAAGGGCTTTGTGCGTAGCTCGAACCTGATCCAGCACCAGCGTACGCACACCGGTGAGCGGCCCTACAGGTGTGGAGAGTGTGGGAAGAGCTTTGCGCACACATCCAACCTGTTGAAGCACCAGCAGACTCACACAGGTGAGCAGCCCTACGCCTGCGACC